GCTTGATTTTTGAATTATCTAATTCTATCTGGAAGGCAGAATCCTTTGCCCAAATCTCTAACTATCTTGAGATTACTTATATCTGCTAAATCAGATGACGTCACTGACCTTATCTGCAGGCAAACCTAGCAATTCAGTCCTTTAAAGCAGTAATTCCTCACTACATTCCATGCCAATCCAGAGGCAGTCTTGGACTCAACCCTCCTTGTCCAAGGACTTCATTGGGGTGTTTTCACATATATGTGCCCATTAGTGCTGCCTAAGTGCTGCCACAGGATCTGCCTCCAGCCTTTTCATAAACATAGGGTTTAATCTGACTTCAAGTGGCAAAGTGAAAGTCACTCGGTTGTTTCCGACTCTTTGCGACCCCATGTACCATAGCCCACCAGGCCCCTCCAAGCAAGAATACTGGAGTCGGTTGCCATTCCCTTCTCCAGGGGATTTTGCTGATCCAGGGATCGAACCTTCATCTCTCAACTGCAAGCAGATTCTTTTTTTTTTTTGGAAGCAGATTCTTTACTGTCTGAGCCTCCAGGGAGTGGGGCTAGTCTTAAGCTTGTACACTCAAACATGAAACACTAACGGAGGAAACCTGAAGATCTTCTGTTCTGGTGACCACTTTTATACAGCCCTAGTGTTTTACAGAACCACTTTTCTGAACAATCTGCTCCTGCCTTAAGCCAAGACAGCATCCTCCCTAGCTTGGGTTCCCCAACTGTGAGAGCATGCAGCTTCTTCTAGGAAATCTGCTCTAGCCTTGATTTGATATGACTGCAAACATAGTAGTACCCAAGGATCACCACCTGACTCTTCTACTATCCTGTGAAAAGAGCATTAGCATCATCATTACCTCCATTTCACAGATGATGAAACAGAGGCAACAAGGTTAATGAGATTTGCACCTAAGTTTAGGCTTTTTTGGCTTCCTGGTAGCTCAGATGGTAAAGAATCCACCTGCAATGTGGGATACCTGGGTTCAATCCCTGGGTTGGGAAGATCCCCTGGAGAAGGGAACGACTACCCACTCCAGTATTCTGGCCTGGAGAATTTCATGGACTGTATAGTCCATGGGGTGCACAAAGAGTTGGACATGACTGAGCGACTTTCACTTAGGCTTTTTAACTACTAAATTCCACAGGCAATCTGATCCCATGCTTCCTGGTTTATTTCTGTCCTTATGGCAGTTTTCTTCAGTGACTTCTATGACCCCTAAATAATAAAAGACCCAGCTTCCACAGGCAACCTTTAATCCGATGGCCAAACTGAGCAGCACATGGACGGGATTTCTGCTGGAGTAGGTACATAGTACCAATGGATAGACAAGTCAGGTGCCTGCCCTAGATGAATGCTATAGTGCTGCCCATGGTCCAGAATGCCTAGTGTTCCTCCAGCCAGCACAGCACCTGGGCACTACTAGTCACGGTTCAGGCTGCATCGATGATATCTCCTTCATAGGGTTGCTGGGAGAAGTCTAAGAGGCACCCAGTCAGTTATGTTCAGTTGCTCAGTCATGTCCGACTCTTTGTGACCCCAAGGACTGCAGAATGCCAGGCTTCCCTGTCCATCACCAACTCCCAGAGCGTATTCATGTCCATTGAGTCAGTGATGCCATGCAACCATCTCATCCACGGTCGTCCCCTTCTCCTCCTGCTTTCAATCTTTCCCAGCATCAGGGTATTATCCAATGAGACAGTTCTTCACATCAGGTGACCAAAGTACTGGAGCTTCAACTTCAGCATCAGTCCTTCCAGTGAATATTCATGACTGATTTCCTTTAAGACTCACTGATTTCTATGATGGCGGAGGAAGAGGATGGGGAGACCACTTTCTCCCCCAAGAAACTCATCGAAAAATCATTTGAATACTGAGCAAATTCCACAAAACAACTTCTGAACACTGGCGGAGGACACCAGGCACCAGAAAGGCAGCCCATTTTCTTCAAAAGGAGGTAGGACAAAATATAAAAAGAGAGACAAAAGAGTTAGGGATGGAGACCTGTCCGGGGAGGGAGTTGTGAAGGAGGAGAAGTTTCCAAACACCAGAAGACCCTCTCACAGTCAGGTCTGTGGGGAGTTTTGGAATCTCAGAGGGCAACATAATTGGGAGGAAAAAATAAATAAATAAACCCCACAGATTACGCGGCTAACCACAACTCCCAGC